CAAAGCCGACACTGCTGCGGTTCGCCGCCCCCGGCAAACACCCTCCCAGACCGGGGAAGGCAGCACCTGCCCCAGGAGATGCCCAAACTGCCCCTCAGCCCCAGGCAGCGGCAGAGGAGAGGCATGACCCTTCGCATCAGACGTTTGGGGAGCAAGGGCCCCATGGGGACGGGGGAGGATGGCGTGCATGGAGGTGCCTGGGAGCTCTCAATCCAAGTGGAAAAATGCATCTTGTATCAACACACGTCTATGCCCATCAGCCAAAGTTGCACAAATCCCACGGTGTCCCGAGTCCACTTCGGCTGTTCCTCACGCAGGGCTCTCCACCCATCGACGTCAGGACCCACAGCTCGATGCCACGCGGGATGAGCAGAGGAGCAGACGGGCATGTGGGATTACCAGCGCCAAGGCCAAGTCTTCACGAGTCCTTCAAGAGACTGGTCAGCGCTGGTGGGCTGACGGGGAGCGAGGGAGCTTACTTCTGGCACTGGGAAACTCAGCGCAGCCCAATCCATCCCTGACTGGAGTCAGGGAGGATAAGCCCAGAGCCATGGCATGAGAAGGACTGCCAGAAGACACAAGAGGGGTTGAAAAGAAACCTGAATAAGAATGGTGAGGGGAGGAAAGGAAAAATAAGATGGAGAAAGAGACTAAATAGCCAAATTTGAGGCAGGTCACTCGCAATCTATGCAAGTCATGGTCCTCCCCGTGCTGACAAAAGGAACTCAAAGAGATCCAGCATCTCACCCCACAAGGACCAGGGCCGGTGCCCACTGGGTGACCCCAGTCACTCTCAGGAGCCCTAAGAAGGGGATGGGAGGTTTGGAGAGATGATCCTGACAGGGGGGCATGAAGCCCAGGATGTCCCCTGCACGGTGGCTTTGCTACAGGAGCAGTGAAGGTGGGAAGCAAAGGGAACGCTGGAGGACTGGAAAGCCCTGGTTGCTCCCAGGCTGTGCTGCCATGTCGGATCCTACCCTGCCCTACAGAAAGGGACATCCTGAAATCATTATGTCCAGTGCAGCATCATTAAAACAGGTTCTTCTCAGGGTCTTCAAAGTCAAAGGGCAGCAAAGCAGTGGCTGTTCTCTCCAGCCCCTCGCTGGAAGGCAGCCAGGAGACCCCCGGACACGCTCCGGTGGCACGTCCCCTCCTGCTGCGGGGGGTCCATGCCCCGAGAACAGCACTGCCAGGGCTGCCGCGCCCCGCCCGTGACCGCCTAGCC